ATTCACTCGAATCTCGCATGAGAATATCCCGTGAAAAACCCTGCAAAAATCGCTAAATATCAACTAATTGCACATTCTAAACAATAGGACAATCAGTGGAACTTGAATACAAATTCGAAATCAACAAAATATTATCTAATGTATGATCAGTTTTCGGTGGTCACCAACCGAGTGACATTGTCAGGGACTTAATCCCGAAATCTTCCCTCATCAGTGGAACTGCACGAGTCAGATAACTCAAAAGAGCATAATTAATTAGTTCCTGCCAAGTAGTAGCAGGCTATTAGGCCCCCTATAGTTTCGGTTCGACTTGTGCGGGGGTGCCCGCCCATCCCCCTGAGAAGGAGGGGATCCCCCGAGAGGGGAAGGAGTCCCACAAAAAGCGAGGTGGACTTCCGAAAAGGCTCCCAACCCTATCAAGGTAGGGGAGGTTAGGGCGCTCGCCCTCAGTTGAAGGTGAACTGTTTGCCCGAGCCGAGGCACCCTCAACCGAAAACGGACACCTTGCCCGGGCCCCTGGGGAGTCCACCCTCGGCTGAGGGCAGAAGTGTTCCCTTGGGAACACATACAAAAATTTCAGTGGATGAGGTTACTGAGTCTCAGACTCAGCACCACCACTTGCACCTGCAGTGCCCTGCAGCTGCACACCGAAACAAGTGAGGAATCAGTTCGCTTATATACAAATTCTAGAGGCAATATTCGCGCCGTAATTAATCGAATTAATCAGTATTCTAATATAATTCATCAAAACCTTAAATATTCCTAAATCAAATTAATTTGATCTAACATTTCGTAATATGCGCACAAAATGAAACGTTTGCTTAATTCAAACCGAAACGTACTATGTGGGAACCAAATGACCGGGCACTATGCTGCAATGTCACTGCTTGGCGGCTAATTAAAAAATTTTTTCATCAGATTACTTTTCAACTTTTTCATTATTAACTTAAATATGATGAAATTCAGTATATAGTATTGGTATTGAAGACGTCTTCGATTAATAAATAATGAATACCTTATCTCACTTGCTACGTTTTATATTGGTTAACTGATTTCATGCTAATTTTTGATATCAGCTGAGAATCCACTTATCAAAATGTTTTGCAATCAGCATGGTTTCATCCCTACGATTAGTTGCAATTGGCATTTTATTGTCGAAATCAAGATCATGAGCACTTTTGCTGTTGACGGGCACCACTGCACACATCTGCTTCGGTTACCGCTTCGCCCCATTTGTATCTATGCAGTTTGAAGTCAAATCAGGAGTATACTTAAGCTTAGCCCAGTGATGAGGCTAACGCATAGGCTTCTACTTATGTGTGAAGCTTGTGAGCACACGAGCACGTCAATAGCAAAAGTATCGGATCATGTTCTGGTGGGTCACTGCTTAAGAATTCCGGTGAGTTAAGAAGTTATGATAGGTTCGTATGAGCCTCAGTTGGAGGCTAAGGCCATTCAGTATATGAAGTGTTCCTGAACTATTGTTCGGTTGGATGCACTCATGAATACGAGTACCTGAAGTAATATTTCAGAAACATTGATATCCGATACGAATTTCATGGAGTAATTAAATGAAAATGTGGATTCATAGAATATTTGGTTTGTTTCTATTGTGTACAATTGGATGCGCTGCCGAGAATGTGGACATTGATTTGTCGGTGGATCATTCGGACTGGAAAGATCCAACGGATCCGTTTGCATCCTATCAAAAAGAGCATCAAAACGTTGAATTATTGGCTGCTTGTGAGCAGAAATTACAGCTGTGTCTGCGAAACAATGTAGGTTCTTGAATCACGCTGGATTTTAGAAATTTATAGCTAGTGCGACCAGAAACATTGTTATGAACTCCAGAACTCCAAAACGACTTTATATCGGTAGTTAGCAAATAGCGGGTAGACCCTTTTTTATCACTTTCAGGAAAGGGTTACACTTCATCAGAATTCTCAATCACCTAAAGTTAAGACTGTTTTAAAACGAGAATTAATTTTTTTTCGCTTCCTGAAGAACATTTTCTTCAATTGTCATTTTCCTTAAAAAAATTCGTTCATTGGAATGATAGTTATCGTTACTTTTTCAAATATTTGCGTACGGAATAAAAATTCATTTCAGAAAGATGAAACATCCCTTATGGCTCTAGGTCAACATTCTCAGCAAAAAAGTGATCCAGCGATGAAATTACTCATTCGAAATTTGATATCGCGATTGAATTTTGATATTGATACGGTACCGCATTTGTATTCATTTGTTTGTTTATTCTATGATTGTTCGCGTTTGAATTGTGAAATTAATCAGTAATTTTGTGATATCGCCTTCAATTTAAACAATTTTTCGACTGTTAAATCTTCGAATAAATTGTCGTTTCTCGATTGAAGAGCCATTCTGAAATAATTTGACATGTCTGAAATTTATTTTTCCGTAGTAGTGAGTAGAGTGTATCCATTTCCAGGTGAATTATGTGGATCGAGTGGCTCAGATTCAGTTCACCTCAGAAGATTTGGCAACGATTCGCCGTTATTTGAAGTCGAGCAGTGAATCGATTTCGTTACGTGAACAAGTTAAGATCATACTCGAAAACTTCATCGTTCAGGTTTACTCGCATATTTTCTTGTTTTCACTTGATTTCTACCTTCCTTGCCCCATGATTGTTGAATGATTTCAAAATTTTCAAATTGTACTTGTTATTAAAAATAAGATTTTCATTATGAGAAATGAAGCGAATTTGCAACGTTTACAGCTGGATCCCTATAAAGAGCCAACAATCGGAATGCGTTTTGTGCTACTTGTCATGCCCTATTTACCGTTGCTGAATTTTGTGATATTGATACCGGCTCTATTGATTATCTTGAAGAATCGTTGTTCAACGAATTCATTTCTATTCATTTGCTTCACAACTGCATTCATGGTTTCGCTGTTCTTTGTGTACAATCGAAAATATCAAGTTCGTTTTGC